CTTTTTCTTTCTTGTCTCCAAGAGAAGCATGGGTCAAGGACCTGGGCCTAGTGACCTAGCATTTATTATACATTTATGTTCATGGTGCATTGAGAGCAACACCCGTCAGTCCTTCCAGCAACCCTGTGAAACAGGTCTTCTTGTCCCCAGGTGAGGGGCCCACAGAGAGCTAGTCAGACATTGGAAGTTGGAGACAGGACTACAGGGTAAATGGAAAGAAGCCTGTGGCTTTCTTTTTAACTTGGTCTTTTATTACAACCACAAGAGGTAAGGGGGTGCTTTTGAAAGTTGGCTTCTCTCCAGTGATTCATTTATCAGCCAGGCCATGATGGCTTGTCATTCAGACCCTGAGACTTCCTGGTGCCTTCCTCCTAGTGTGTGCTTGGTGACACTTCCCAGCCACACCCTCCTCTTCAGCTCTCAGCCTTCTCTACAAAGATGAAAATGCTTATATTTCCCTAATGACACATCTTGTTCCTAGGAGTTTCTGGGAACCCGAGAATTCAGATGAACCACGGAGTTAAAACCAATGCAAATGATTTGACTAGCTCAAGGCTACATGTGTATTCAAATATGTCACCCATGTGTAAAACTGAAAGCAAGGCTGACCAAGTGCTAACACGGTTCAGCAGGTGGCCAGATGGTTGTCAGCTCAAGCGAGCACTGGCCTTGACCTTGCTAAGCAGGCGAGCACTGAGGTCCTTGCCTGGGAGCTACAGAGAATGTTCTCTGCTGGCTCGTATAATAAGAGAAAAGATAAGATACATAAACAGACGAGATCCTTCAGCTCCAGAAAGGGTGTTACATAAACTGAAGGCAATCAGGGAGCCCCCAACCATAGATCACAAAGTATCAAAGTCACTCCTGATTAAGAATCACATTGTGAAATGTCCAGTGATGCCCTGAGTGGCTGTGAATCACCTTGAGTGGAATCACACCCTTTCCTTGGAACAACAAAAAGAGAGGCTTAGGGGGAGGGGGGGAAAGAAGGCTTCAAGCTGCTCAAGGTACACACACGGGGTCACCCTGAGGCCCATGCTGCTAATACCAGCTTCCCCCTCTTTAAAACAAGGATGGAATGGTAGCACCCATGCAGGATTGTAGTGATGCTTCCAGGAGAAATGCATAGGAAAGCAACATGAGCTCTTGGGTTCCATACAAATACCAGGTGTGTTTGCCTTAGAGGCTGTTCTGTATATGCACAAACAGCCAGACAGACATCCCCACCATTTAGGGAAGACCAGAGCAGGACCTCCCAAGGAGCAGAGATGGTCTTTTTCTGCCCCAGGCCAGCTGTTGAGGCTGTGCAAAGCAGCTGCATTGAGGAAGGGATTTCTTAGCCAACACCAACACCAAGAGTTCCCCCCTCCCCCAGAGAGTCAGACAACAGCAGCCCTGGCCCAGATGCTGGGCAGCTCAGCAGGGAACTTGGAGACCCTCAAAGAGGTTCCTCAATTTGAATTTTGACCTAATTCTCTGTAGGAATCAAGTTGTGATCAAAGATTATATTGCTTTCCAGTGGCTCAGTGTGCATTTTCTAGGCATGCTCACAAATATCCCATATATCCTAAAGCTATTGCTATATAGTGTTGAGTATACTGCTGATTGCACTTAAGAAGTTGATGGTCGCATCTATAAAGTCTCAAATGTCTCCCATCTCTGAAACTTGAACTAGCTTTTTAGATGTACCAGCAGAGGGAAGGGATTTTGAACAAAGAAACTGTAATTGAATTAGAAGCCTGGAAAAAAGGGAGGTGATGCAAGCAGTGAGAGATCTGGGCTTCCTTAAAGCAGAGGAGGAAAATGTCTAATTCCATGTACATCTGTCTGTATGAGGCTAGCACTGTATCTGTCCTAGCAAGCTATCCTCAGTGCATAGGCTGAGATCTGAGGATTGCAGTTTGAAGCCAACCCATGAGACTCTCATGTCCAATAAACTACTCAGAAAAAGCCAGAAGTGCTACTGTGGCTCCAGGACACAAAGAACACAAAGAGGCTCCAGGGACAGCACCCAGGCCCTGAGTTAAAGCTCCAGGAATAGCAATAAATAAATAATAATAATAAATGAATATATATATAAACATACACACACACACACACACACACACACACATATATCTGTTCATAGGCCAGGCACAGTAGTGTGTATTGTAATCTCAGCTACTCAGGAAGCTGAGCCAGGATCACTTTGGCCTAAGAGTTTTGAATCTGCCTGGGTAATAAAGCAAGACTCTGTAGAGAAGGAAGCAAGGGAAAGAGGGAGGGAAAATAAGTTGACTTGGGCCTTATAGAGCCTGGGCTGATGGAAGACAGCTATGCAAGTAGCAAGACAATAGTCCCCTGTAAAGAATGCAGAATGCAAACCTGCAAGAAACCTGAACTAGCATGAATTGTGGACTGCTGGCTATTCTGTTGTTGTTTTTGCCAGTCCTGGGGTTTGAACTCTGGGCCTGGGTATGTGGTACTAAAGAATCAAACCCAGGGCTTTGTGCATGCTAAACAAGCACTCTACTACTAAGCCACATTCCTAGCCCTATTTTTATAGTTTTGGTTCTTACTAGCTAGCTAACACTTTGAAATATGGCTTGTAATTCAGTAGGGAAAGAGAAAAGCTTTCCGTATACTAGATGCCAATGTTTTTTCACTACTTTGAGAAAGACCTACCCTGATGTTACATACCTTGCTCCTTATTGCATATGGCCATGCAGATGGGGAACAATGGGTGCTCTAGTTCTGATATATGTGACTTGTTCTGCAGTTACAGGAGAACTTGCCAGGCCTGGAAAGTATGTTCTAGAGATTGAGAAGTGAATGCTTGGCATGAGTCTCATGCAAAGGGAACATCCAGAAAATCCTGAGAGTGCAACATGGAAACCAAACCACAGGCTGATTAGAGAAGTTGCCAGGCTCATGTTGTAGGAACTAGAGGCCCAGAATGGGCCACCTTCTAGAAGGAGAGTTCATTGTAACAGGCTGTAGGACTTGGCTAGATAACCAACTTGCTGTGCAAACAAGCACTGCACATGGACCACCACCCCAAGGAGGAAACTCTAGTCTTGTTCTTGGTTGGTGCCACATGACAGGAATCTGAGGAAGAACAGGGAGTCTGGGAGTGTGTTGAAACCAGGTCGCCCAAGGCCTATGACAAGGCAAGGCCACCCTGCCCTGCTCCATACTTCTTCCAGTTTCCTACACTGCAACATCTTCCTTACTCCTCAATTGGCTGTTACCAGTCCTTCCATTCTTACTCAGAGACTGGAGTATGGCAGAACTGCCTAAGGACCTGCTCAAAACGGGCTGATCCCAGAGCCCCACCCAGTCAGTCAGTCCAAACTCTTGAGGCTCATTGAGCAGGTGTGGCGAGGGGCAAACAGAGCAGACAGGTGAACTGGGCATTCTAGTTCATGGTTCTGGGTGTGAGTGACCCCCTAAGATGAAAATAACAGCCACTGCACTTGGTGGAGTGTTTTAGTACTATGCTAAAGCCCAGGTGTGCATCAGTGACTTGAATCTTCCTACCAAAAAAAAAAAAAAGAAAAGTGATGTAATGGAATCTTTATATTACAAATAAGAAAAATTGAGCACAGAGAGGTGAGGCAACCTGCCTGATTTCACCCAACTAGTAATCAGCAGGAACAAGGCTAAAACCCAGGAATGTGAAGCCTGCTGTGAGGCCGACTTCAAAGTGCTACACACAACTAAGAGCAGTTTTATTTACACATGGATCCAAAGCTTCCTATGCAGTCCTACCCAGGGCCTTGAATTCAGCCCTTGGGGATCCTGAGTGCGGTGGGACTGTGTGGAGACTGTGGGTTGCTGGTGTTTTCTGCAGTCTGGTCTGGTGGAAGCCTTCGTGCAGTTGTAAGCCCTCCAGAAGGCTGAGTCACCCTGGGTTGGCTGGCCGCTGGCGCCAGGGCACCCTAAGACTGCTGAGCCTTCGCATAGTACCAGGGAGACACACCTACTATCCACCTGCTCCCATGAGTCACAAGGCTGCCACACTGCTGCCAGTCCTACCAGCTCTGCTTTTCCCTCTAGTTGCTACCATGCCAAGCACGAACTTGACCATATATGGCAGGGACACCAGGAAGTACCTGTTCCCAATCTGCCTTCCTCCGGAAGTGTGCCACTGAATAGGTAACCAGACAGGTCAAAGCTCAAGGGCCAGGCTCTTTCCACTGCTTTGCATCAGGTACCTGGGGAAAGGGTATAGCAGGGCAACTTAGAACCCCAGAGAGGGAAGTCAGTCCTCAAGCATGTGTGAGTGACGGGCTTACTGAGAGCCTGGGCCATCAGGATGAGTTGACCAGGAGAGTCAAAGGAAGGAATGATAACTTTTCATTCATTATTTCACGATTTGGGCTACTGGTACATTTTCTTTGATGTTTCCTGTGGATCTACCAAAAGAGTCTTTCAGCAGAAAGGTTCTTCACTTTTACTGAATAAAGACTTGTACAGCTGCCTAACAATGCCAAAATGATCACATGCCTGGATAGCGCCTAAAACTGTGCTCTCTGTGAAGTGCTGTAGAGAAGGGATCTCTCAATAATTCCTGTTGCTAGGACCTGCATCAGGCTAACAGTTGCATGAGACAGCCCAGAAGACAGAAGACATAAAAGGAAGCCCTCTATTAAAAGAGGCAGCTGTCATATAAAAAGGGCATATAATGTGGCCTCTTGTGACAAATGCCAAGTTGTGTAGCTTAACTTCTGCAAATGTTTATGTATATTTGTTTCCTCCTTTCTTTAAAAGGCCACATTTTATGATGCATGTTGGGGGGTGCGCTAATGAAACCGATAATGCAGGGACTGTGTAGAAAGATTACATAGGTGTTCAAATGGTTGCCACACTGACACCAAAGCTGTGACCAGAACTGCTGGGGAACATTTCGGTAATAACCTCCCGAGAAGCTGTGATGATTTGGAAAACACATACATTTCCCCCAAGTCACACGAATTCGTAGGAAGGTTTAAACAACTTTCTTTTTTAATTCTCTTCAGATTTCAGGGAGGAAAAGCCGTCAAAGATGTCCAGCAAAACAGCAAGCACTAACAACATAGCCCAGGCTAGGAGAACGGTGCAGCAGTTAAGATTGGAAGCCTCCATTGAACGAATAAAGGTAAGAAGCTGAACAGGATGGACTGTGCCTTCTGTTCCCCTGCTCTACGAAGCTCGGGTCACAAGTCAGAGAAGATAAGGCCATTTATTTCACTGGGTTTTTGGGATTTTCCTAGAGCAGGCTCAAAGTCTCAGAACTGTAATTTTCCTTTCCTACCTAGCAAGGGTTTCATTCAAAACTACTGAGGAACCAGCTGTCTGAGTTAGCCCCTTTGTTGGGGGGAAAGGGGGACGGGCGGTGGGAACCCTGCCCAGGGTTTCCTGAGGCCTTCCTTCTCTGCATGAGGTGGTCAAGTCTTATGGTCATTGTGTTCTCACAGGGCAATGGTGCAAATCCCTCTGTGACCACTTTCTGCCCCCAGGGTTAGTAATTCCAGATAGAAGGGACATCCCACAGAGGAGCCAGAGCCCATTTCCGTAGACCACCTGCCTTTAAGGGCTTTTCCCCTTCAATCCCCAGGAGTTAACTAGGCAGTGAGAGCCCTGGAATGTTGTGACTAATGCTGTTTCCTAGAAATGGAAACAGTACGTGATAAATTCCTCTGGGCCTGGAGATAAGTCACCTGTCTGAAAGGACAACTACGTGCACCCATCTCGACATCGGGCCGTCCCATGCTCCTGCCTCAGCTTTCTGATCTGGTCACTTTGTGGCACCACCCAGCCAATCTCAGCAACTGACTATAGTGTTTCCCCTGTCTAGCTCCTGTCAGAGTTAAGTCATGGTTTCCTCTCATGCTGCTTTTAGCCTTTAATTTCCCCAGGCCCCACCCCCAACCATAAATCTTGAAGCTCACCAATTTGGCTCTAGAGTTGCTGATTTTAAGTCCATAATTCAGTTCTTGAACTCTGTTCTGCATCCCAACCAATTTTCCTTGGATAGAAACTATGATAAACTTCCCTTTGATTCATAAACTCTAGTCCTTCCTTGTTCCTCAGCTTTTTATTTTGAATTTCATACCTACAGAAGAACTGTGCCAGCCAATGTTCATATTTTCTTTACCAATATCCCCCCAGTTAACATTTGACTAACATACACTCATGTGTGTTTCTTTGCACTTGTGCAAAAGGCAGATTTTTTTGAGCCACTTGAAAACCTCTTGAATTTCAAAATTATCTAATAATTATAATACTTCACACATCCATTTTTTTGTTTTGTGTGTGTGTGTGTGTGTGTGTGTGTGTGTGTGTGCTGGTCCTAGAGTTTGAACTTAGGATCTGGGCACTATGCCTGAGCTTTTATGCTCAGGACTGGTGCTCTACCACTGAGCCACAGCTCTACTTCCAGGTTGTTGGTTTGTTGTTTTTTTATATGGTTGGGTTTTTTTAGTAGTTAACTGGAGATAAGAGTCTCATGGAGGACCTGATGCAACAATGAGAAGTACTAGTTGTCATGTCCAAAACGAACTTTACAACGTCGGTGGGGGGTGGAGGGGGGGAGGGGGGAAGGAGAAGGATTGGGATGGGGGGGAGGGGGGAGGCTGGGAAGTGATATGAAGGGTAAACAAAGGAGGAGGCTGCAATGCTTGGTAAGAAATGTACGCATTATGCTGCCCATGCAATTGTAACCCCTCTGTACAGTATTTTCACAAATAAAAGAAAAAAAAGAGTCTCATGGACTTTCCTGCCCAGGCTGGCTTTGAACTGCAGTCTTCAGATCTAAGCCTCTTGAGTTGCTTGGATTATAGATATGAGCCACCAGTGCCTGACCACACATCCATTTTTTGAAGTAGGCTATTTATTCAGAAATACTCGTGTTTAGAGTATAATTTTTTGCTGATTGAATTCTGTTTAGCTGGGGGGGGGTGTTGTTTATTTGTTTGTTTTTTGGTTTGGTCAGTCCAGGGGCTTCAACTCAGGGCCTGAGCACTGTTCTTGAGCCTCTTTGTACTCAAGGCTAGCATTCTACCACTTAAGCCACAGCACCACTTCTGGCTTTTTCTGAGTATCTTATTGGAGATGAGTGTCGTGGACTTTTCTGTCCTGGCTGGCTTTGAACCATGATCCTCAAATCTCAGCCTATTGAGTAGCTAGGGTTATAAGCATGAGCCACCAGCACCTATCTGCTTAGCTGTTATGACATAGGAATTCGAGCTAGCTAGCTGGTGGGGTGTTATTAGTCCTCACATGAGGTGGGAATGCATGGCACCAGCATGCTGATGCTGTTCAGTATGGTCACCTGCTAAGTTTTACATGTTGGATTGTGTTTCCCTTTGTACCTGACAAGCATTCAGAGACTGATAATGCTCTTGACACTGATGTTCTTGTTTACATCTGTGTCAAGGCACCTAGGAGCTTCATTCAAACCCAGTCTTTTGCTTTGTAAATAAAGTCTTCTCTTGTTTGTTTGCTTCCATTTATATCCATGCCAGGTCTCAAAGGCATCAGCAGACCTCATGTCCTACTGTGAGGAGCATGCCAGGAGTGACCCTCTGCTGATAGGTATACCAACCTCTGAAAACCCTTTCAAGGATAAGAAAACCTGCACCATCTTATAGTGCAATAGGGAACCAGCTCCGTCCTCACCTCTTCTCAACAAGCAAATTACGAGCAGCTCCTCGGAGAGCTGTGCCTTCAGCTTGTCTGGTAACCACTGCTAATAACTAAAATGCTCTTCACTTGGAATAATGGACTCTGAAGTCTTTATTTGCCAAGTTGCCCTGTCCTTAAAATACCTTTGCTGATTTCATACAGAATAACCATCTTGTTTTCCACTATGGTATTCTACTAGATTACTATATAAAATTGGCCTGGGCCTTTTAAAGAATATAATTACATCCTTTAAATATACCATTGATTCCGATTTGTCAAGACCTAAATTGCCTAAGCAACTGTCAAATTAAAAGGCCAAGAATTACTTCAGTCCTGAAAACCTTTGTATTATGTTATGTTCTTAATAAAGTTTGTGCCAAGCTGTACAGTGTATGAGGGAGAGGGGTGTACTGTGTATGTGTACATCATTGCAAATGCTTATTTTCCTGTTAAGACACACTTCTCTATAATATCAGTTAACTCCATAAGTTATCAATTTTTCTTGAGCTGTGTTTAGGTAAGAAGAAACAATTCTTTCCTTAAATTTATTGTACACCAAGTAAAGAAAGACCACCCTAGGGATATTGTGTTCAATTGTAATCAAGTATAACAGTCAACTCTACTTTCTTGAAATCTAGCTGGAGCTCTCAGCCTCTGATAAACCATACCAATTAAACATTAAAAGCTGAACTGAAGCCCTTTGCTATGGTATTCATCCATAAGACCCTTTTGGGTTTCAGTGATCCTGAGTCTAGAAAAGGAGAGGAGGCCCTTGGGAGGATCCAAGGCATCTATACTGAAGGGTTCGTGGTCTCTGGTGGATTCAAGGGAAACACCTAAAATTTCTACCCTGGTGATTGGAATGAGACAGACAGTGATCTATGAGCGCAACCAAGATAGTAGCAGAAATGTGTCCAACCTGCTGCTCAGTTCTGCACGTTACTCTCTGTCTTCTCCCTCACCTGCCTTGGATCTTTCCTCTCCCATTAAGGTCTCTTTCTTCAGATCTCTCTTCAGATAACCTCAGTTTCTTCCCTGCCTTGTCCAGAGACCACCCAAGGGGAGGGTGGGCCTCCAAAGCTATGAGGGGACTTGTATGTGGAGGGCACTCTTTGGCCCAGAGTTTCCAATGACTAATACTCATCCCTCTGATCATGAAGGTAGCATCCTCAAAAGGTCTGATGGCCAAGGGCCATAGTGACCCTGTCATGGCAAAAGAGAGGTTCCTTTTTTTATTATTATTATTAAGTAGTTGTACAAAGAGGTTACAGTTCCCCAAGTCAGGTTATATGTGCCATGCATCTTGATCAATGCCAGCCCTTCCATTGTTTCCACCCATCCCACCCCCCCATTCATACCCTCAAGTTACCTAACTCAATTTTTGTATAACGTACATTGAATATAATGACTGGCTTCTTTTTGAATGTTCTTTTGAGGGCCCAAACCATACATTAAGCCTTAATACTTTTTTTCCCAATTTATTAAAGTTAATACTAGTGAAAGATTTAAAACTTATTCTTAAAAAGAATTCAATCCCCAGAAGGAGATATTTACAACACTTTTCCTTTCCTTACATATTATGCCCTGAAAAGCAATCCTTTTTAAAAAGCTTTGAGTACCATGCTGTTGATGGGGAGCAAAGGCCCAGAGATGCTCAATATTCTCTGGGTCCCTCATCTGCCTGGCAGTCTTGAGAGTCACACAGTGAACTTGGGAAAGCCCTACCACTGCCTTCCCCTTGCTTCTGCCATGTGCTCACTTCCCCAGCAAATTATAGGGACCTGGCTAGGAAGAAGAAAGCTTTTACCTTGCAAAAGTGGAAATCAGAAACGTTCTCTAGAAAGACAATTTTGACATTAGTGCTTCACTTAATGAAATATTCTTTTTCCCCCCTTGGTACTAGGGCTTGAACTCTGGACCACAGTGTTGCCCCTGAGCTTCTTTTGCTATCACTTGAGCCACCACTTCTGGCTTTTTCTGAGTCGTTTATTAGAGCTAAGTCTCAAGGACTTTCCTGCCTAGGCTGGTCTCGAACAATGATCCTCAGATCTCAGCCTCCTGAGTAACAAGGATTACAGGCATGAGCCACTGGTGTCCAGCTCGCTCTTTTTGTTTTACAAGCATATTTTTCTATTGATAGTTCGAGAACACTAATCTTATCTTCACTTCTAATTTTTAGTGTGCTGCTTTAAATATTTATAACGCAGCTTATTACAGAATTCCTTTGTAAATTTCACTACACCATCCGGTTGGCACTTTTGGCAGCTAGCCTAGCTTATTCTTTAGTACTCAAACATACTGTGTGGCCTCACAGGAAACAGATTGGTTTTGCTGTGCATTTGTTAATGTGCTTCTAGTTGTAGAAATAACCTTGCGGTCCCAAGAGATCTCATTTCTTTTCCCTGGTCAGGGAAAATAAATGCTGTGGGTATAAATGTCCAGTAGCTCACTTCCTAACCAGGTAGAAAGCATGATCATGAAGAACCAGAATTGAATCCCTTGATGCTAGACTCAAGAGAGGGAAATGTATAGCCAAATATTGATTTCTTTATAACTAGATGTCTATGTGAGAAAATGTAATATATGTATACCTTATATATGATAGGCAGAGGTCACTTTTCTTTATGTACCTTTATTCTGTAGCCATAGTCGAGCTACCTGCAGCAATTAGCTTATGGAATAATAGATGCCCAGCCTGTGTTTTCCTGCACACACTTATACAAACACAGGCAGCTTCTCTGCTATGCCTTTATGAAATTATTTACTTATGTTCAATATAGTTTGTCTCAACTGCCACTTCTGTTAACAGTGCTCACATTCTTTCTTCTGTCCCTAGTAGGCCACCAGAAATCTGTGCAGTTGAGGCCTCAGGACCATGGCAAGATAGAGTACACAAAATAATCTCATGACTCCACAGTATTTTACAGAAAACACATTTTTTTAAACAGAAAAAAAAAAAACTTTATACGCCAGGTGGTTCACTAGTCATGGATCATAGTGAAATGTGTTTTTCTTTTTCTATAAAGTCACGTTTTTAAATTCTTTACATTATGAGGAAAACTACCATAGCTCTCTTTGAAAGGAAGGGCCTGATTTGTTCTCTACAAATTTGAACTGTTTTTCTACTTTACTAATCTTTAAACTATTAGGAAAAAGAAAACTTTATACCAATGATTTAATAAATTGATGCATATATTAGTTCACATAGCAAAAGATGTGCCAAATTATCACCTCTGACAGTACCTTCTCATACACTTATGACTAAAGTAGTGCCATCTGATTGACTGTTCTGCATTTTAGTTAAGATATATGCAGCCCAAGAAGTAATTGTACCTACCAGTCCTTCCCCAAGGGGGCAAATACAGTATCAGAGTCTGTTGTGAATTGTATTGATTTCTTTTATGGAAAAGTACATTAAGTCGAATTATATGTGTGTATTTAAACAGAGCACTTAGTGAAGTCAGTGGCCTAGGTTTTGGCTTTTCATCATTTTCTAGGCAATCACGTGCTGTGTTACTTTGGACAAGGCACTTCATGTCTCCGAGTCCTGCCAGCCCCTTTGTAGCAAGGTGCTGAAAGTAGAGGATGGCTGAGATTGTCCCTGTTGTTAGATGCCTTGGTTCAATGACCCTGCCCCACTGCTGGTCCTGCCAACGTGTTGGTGCTATAAGCTGCTTCAAGTAGGAAATGGGCTTGTCTATAATGTGTGCTAACTAGATAGCTTGGAAAAGCCTTTTCATCATACAGTGCTATCTTCCCAGTTCCAAGGACTTACTATAATGTCTCATGTTTAGCCATGTCGCTACAAACACATATTCTCCTGATATCTCATTTGATACATTGTTGAGATTTTGTTATTTTTCAAACATTGTTTGGCTATTCAATCTATCCAACACCTTAATAACCTTAACACTGTGATTATTGTTTGGAAATCTGTTCTATGGGAAGAATAAAAAAAGCACTTATTTCACTGCTAGCATGTTCACAGATTTGAAAGAAGTCTTGTAACACCACCATTACTTAGCTGAGTGTGGTGATTTGTACCTGTAATCCCAGCATTCGTGATCTTGGAAACAGGAGAAGATCGACTCAAGGTCAGCTTTGGGCTACCTAGAGAAACCCTGTCTCCAAAATGCCATTGCTTTCTTTACAGGACCAGTGCCTCATTGTATTGTTCTACTTGTGTTTTGCTCAATAAATTAATAAAAGATTGTTTCTCTTCCATTTTTCCTCTTTCATTCAGTCAACAATTTTTAAGCACCTGCTGGGAGCTGGGTGTTGAGTTAGGTTCTGATAACACAAAGGTAAATAATGTGACAGCCAGGTACCAGTGGCTCATGCCTATAACAATAATTACACAGGAGACTGAGAACTAAGGATCACAGTTCAAAGCCAGCCTAGGCAGAAAGTCGTAAGACTTTCATCACCATAGAGCCACCAGAAAGCTAGAGTAGAGGTATGGCTCAGCAATAGCACCCAGGCCCTTAGTTCTAGGACTGGCCCTGAGAACCACAAGTCTAGAGCATCCAAGGTGGATGACAGATACAGGACCCACCACCATGCCCCTGCAAGAGCAGTTCTCATCACCAAGTGACCTATAGGTGCCTCAAGAGCCCAAGGGAAGGGGCACCTGCTCCACATCAAAGAGGCCTTCTTCCAAATGGCTCCAAGACATGCTGGGGCTGGAGAGGCAGCAGGAGCACCATCCACATGAAGTCTTGGGAGATGGGGAAGCAGGATGGACTCCTAGCTGGAGAGCAGCAGTGTTCCCTGGCTATCCTGTGATCGGCAGGGAAGCTCAGGTAGTCATTAAGCAGTGATGCAATAATTCCAGTATGGGGCTGGGAAGGTGGCTCAGTGGTAGAGTGCTTGCCTTGTATGCATGAGGCCCTGGGTTCGATTCCTCAGCACCACATAAGCAGAAAAAGCCGGAAGTGGCGCTGTGGCTCAAGTGGTAGAACGCTAACCTTGAGCTGAAGAGCTGAGGGACAGTGCCCAGGCCCAGAGTTCAGGCCCCCACAACCGACCAAAAAATAAAAAAGAATAAAGTGGCCTCTCAACACCTTTAAAATAAAATAATCCCAGTATGTAGA